AAAAGAAATCTTAAGAGTTGAGAGAATTGTTTCCCCCTTAACATTCGTCAGCTTTTAGTTCTCTTACTCCAGCAGACAAGCAATGAGAATAAACTACTAATCTGGGAGTTTCTGGGAAAGAAGTGGCTGATCCCAGGCCTTTTGCCCTTTCCCTGGTTTGAGTGTGGATGTATATTTGGAGCAATAGCAGTTGTCTTCTGACTGCAGTGTAACAAGTTCTGACAATGTAAAGCTACTGAACCAGTGCCAGCAGTGTTCTTCCTATTAGGTGCAAAAAATGTAAATCCCTATTGCTTTAAATACCATTAGGATTTCTGTTATTTGCAACGGAAAGCACTTAAAGCTAATATAAAGGTTCAGAGTTGCAGGTATCACAACCCTAAACCTATGAAATTCAAAGAGTTTAAAGATTTATGATCTATGCCTTCCCTGTAAGGGTTGTGCAATAATTAGGGCATCTACACTACTGAGTGCATCGGGCCTTTGAGAAGCAATTAAAAGCTGGTGGGTTCAAAGCTATCCAATTCCTTACCCAGTAGAAAATTATAAAGATGTTCAGAGGGTTGAAAAGCTGCTCCCTCAGAGTCACAGCTCGTGTGATACTATTATATTATCTCAAACCACCTGCCTCCCTCAATTTGCCCTGAATTTGGAAATCTGATGAATTCCTTATCTGCCTTGATTCTTCAGAAAACCTAGAATTAGTAAGAGATATAGCTAAATCTCCTATCCCCCTGAACCCTGTAAGAGACACTTAATCCTAATTTTGACCTTCACTTCTGATCTAGTGTGACACTATTTTAATTGCTACAGGGTTTATCATATAAACTCAATGTAGTATCAGATAGGTTAAATCTGAAACAGTCTTCATATACAAAGAATGAAAACTTAAAAGGCAACATAAAGCAATGATTTAGTTCATGGACAGTCGTCAATGAATTTTATACCTCCATCAAAATGATATCTAATTAGAGATGTATAGCAGCTTTATTTATAACTTCCAAAACATAGAAGCAGCCAAGATGTCTTTTAGTAGGTAAATGGATAAACAAATTGTGGTACACCCAGACAACAGAACATTATTCGACACTAAAAACAAATGAGATGGCAAGTCATGAAAAGACATGGAAAAAGTGTAAATGCATATTACTAAGTGAAAAAAAGCCTATTTAAATAAGCTACCAACTAATGATTCCAACTATATGACATTCTTAAAAAGGCAAAAATATAGAGACAGTAGAAAAGATCAGTAGTTGCCTGGGTTTAGTAGGGGAGGAGGGGCTATCTAAATAGGTGAACTTGGAGCACAAAGGATTTTTTGAGCAGTGATAATACTGAATTGTAAATACTGCTGGGTCATTGGAAAAGTCTTGATGCATTTTTGCATAGAAAAACAGAAAAATACCTCATGACTTTCCTGACAACTTAATATAATGGCACCTACCTAGGAAGTTTATTCTGCTGCCTTAGGTCTTTACTACTATACTGGGTCACATTTGTGAAAACATCATAATGTTATAAACAATTTTCATAATAAACAAGTTCCACAAATAAAATTACTTACTGTATCTTCATTGTGATAACTTTATTATAGGAGTAGCCCAGTATTATAATTACAAAATGAAAATATGCTGCATATAACTCATTTTGAAAAAGAAATCACTTAATAGGTCAATATTCTACTGCACAATCTTGGTCTTTATCAGTCACTAAGATAGTGTTTAAAGGTTAAAAAGTCAAAAAAGTTTGTGATTTGAACCTTCTATTGATTTGACAAATGTTTTAGGGGCATGACCCAGAAAAAGTATTTCAGAGAGTATGAATACTCTCTTTTCTCATTTAGAGAATGATAAGATGACACTTATTTCTGTATAATGACTCTAATTATACCCAGAATGTACAATCAGATAGCAACATCAAGTATTCTTGGATTAATGTAAAAATGGATTTAAATTAGAAATATGGTACCACCGTGCTCTCACATCAGCAAAAATCATTACTTACGGTTTGTGAAACTGACAAGAGCAAATGCCAATCAAATAAATAGACTGTATTTAGATAACCCAGGTAATAGTTCAGTGGGGAGTTCTGAAAAAGAAATTATTATTTCAATGCCAAGTCACGCTTCCAGCTTTGAACAAGTAGCAAAACATGGGCATGTTTCTCAAATGGATTTCACAGCATCAGTGCAAAAGCTGGAGGGGATGGCTTAGTTTTTTAAGCCTCAGATTTGAAATACCTAGACTCCCTGCAACTACAGCGTTAAATCCTCTGCGGAACCACCGCTTCAAATGCTATCAGGAGAGACTCAACTCTTCATCCTTCTGAGACTGATAAATTGAAAGCCATGAAGTTTAGAGGAAATGGAGGGGTGCCCGCAGCTGCCCAACACCCCCCCCCAACTTCCCACCCTCCATCACACTTGGGAAGGCTCTATTTGTAACATCATTTAAGGTTCCATTTGAGGCTTTCTCCTTGCTAAGAATTGAGGATGCTGTTTTTAAGACATACAGAAATTTCACAGTGCTGCCATGCACCATCTTGTAAACAGTCAAACCAAATTTCAGATAGCTTAGAGTAGACAGAAAACATTATTTCAAACTCTGATTTAATATGGTCAAGAAATGCATAAGTGCTTACTTTTAAAATGTATTATATTCAGCCAACTCTTTATTATCCCTATGGAAATTTCTGTACCTCAAATTGATTTTTTGTATGTCCCTGAACTGCTCCCTCCCCATCATCAATTGAGGAATACTTGGTAAATTCCATTAAAACAGTTGAATTTTATTTTATTTAAGTATCGTTTCCACTCTCTTATCCCCTTCCTGATTTAGAAAACTGTGTAGTAAATCCTATGAAATGAATGCTACTTTTATCTCCATTTTATAGATGTGGGACAGCATGGATCAGAAAGAGTATGCGTTAACCACAGTCAATATGCTGTTACCCTAAATTTTAAAATCCAAGTCTTGAGAATCCTCTGATGTGTCTCTAGCTATAAGTAAGTTCTATATAAGAACATAAACATTTAACTAAACACAATTGTGTAGAATGCTAAATTTAAGTAAAAATAAATGTATAACTAGTTCTTTTAATTTATGAGTAACACTACATATTTCTATTATGTAAAATTAATTATTTGAAAAAATGAAAAATTGGAAAGGGTTCTGGGAAAGCTGTTGACCATTTTTTAAGGTCTGTCTATTTGTTAACAGATGTCCCTGTTCATTTAGGTTTCCAATAAAGCAGAGGACTCAGTTATATTTAGACACAAATGAAAACCTAAGTGGAAGTAACACAAGGTGACTTCCAGGACCAGAACACCAACTATTCTTCAGGTGTTAGTCAAAGAAAAATTAACCCAAATACCATACTAATCTAATTTCTTTGATTAAGACATAGCTACAAAGATTTGCTAAGTTTAGGAAACTGGATAGTGGACCCACTGACTATTTTAACAGCTAATAAAAAGCCACCACATGGGGTAAGTTCTTTTGAGAATGAACATCAATTATTTTAACTCCATATACCCATGGGAACGTTCACATTTTGAGGCCTTTTCTCAAACAATCCCACTATAGTATGTTTTCCTCCAACCAAAGAATTAACTTCTCTGATGGGAATTTTTACAAGTGAGGAGAGAGAATTTTGGAGAAAAAAGTAGACACGGTAGGAAAAGTTCAGGGTTTTTCCAGCTAGGGAAAACACACACACACACACAAACATCTTAAGAACTCGGAAGAGGCCAGAGAGCAATGGGCCCTGAGACCAATTTTCCACGTATTGTATTATAGAACTTCTCCTGAAAGCAAGTCCTAGCTCCTTAGGCTGTATAAATAATACTCAGCTCAGGTGCTAAGGAAAATCAATTCCAAGGACAATGTATGTTTTCCTTGCTTGCTTACCCTGTTTCACCAGACTTTCAAATTTAACCTGGCATTAGCTTATGCTGATTACCACAGCACAAATGACTTGTTCCGCCTCCAAAATCCCACAGAAGGAACTTAAAACACGTCTCTTTAATTACAACTTTTTAATAACATTTCCTTGCCTTGGGATAATTCTTCTGGGCTATTTTATGTTGTTTAAATTAATTTCCTAGCAATGGGAGCCTTGAAGGTTGTGTAAGCTTCACAACTCCTACCTAGATCATCTTTGTAAAGCCTGGATATATGCTCTTTTAAATTATTTAGTTACACGTGTCTTCCTTTGGCAACATGGGTTGGCACTCCAGATCACTCCTTCTCTTATTTAAATATTTATATAGCATTTAAAGGTGCCAGACATGTGGGTAAAATACATTCATAAAGGAAAGGAGGTAGACTTCTTGCCCTAGAGGTGCAGCAAGGTGGGCTATGCAGAGAGTAAATGTCTACCTTCCCGGACAGTTTCTCCGTTTTGTTTTGTTTTCTTCAGCTCAGAGATTCATGAAAGGATGCCCTACAAAAAGCTGGGATGGGGAGACGACTTAAGGTATGGGGCGGAGGGAGAACTATAACAAGAATACACAGTAACCATTTCAGACCTCTGAGTGTGAGGCCTATAACAAGAATACACAGTAACCATTTCAGATCTTTGAGTGTGTGGGAGGAGCCCCAGAGTACATCTTGAGTTTGGCAAACTTTTCAACTTCAGCTTTTAATTTAAAAGATAAGTTTAAAAAGAAAAAAAAAAATAGTACACTGCAATCACCTAAAGTTCACGGGATCAGGCAACTCAAGGCTGCATAATTTCATACTGATTTTCCAAAAGTAAACTCAACCTACCTTCTAGTAATTAAGCTCAATTCTCCCTTGAACAGGGAAAGCAACAATTTGACTGTGGTTTTTTTTTTTTTTTTTTAAGGAAAACACCTTCGCGGGACAAAACACAGAGCCAAGGAGACCGAACATTCCCGCGGTCCCGGAGGACACCACGTCTCGCGAGAGTTGAGGGAGCATTGGCCGCGCCCCCTGGTGGGTGGGGGGCGGGGCGCTCGGGATCTCGAGTTCCGGGAGCGAGGGGAGGTGGGTGGGGTCGACCGCCGGTCTCGGGACCTTCTCGCGTTGGCCGGCGCCCGACGCAGCTATGGCGCGAAGGTCGATCTGGCCTGGGCTTCTCGCGCTGTTCCTGCTCGGCCCGGCTCTAGTGCGCGGCTCCAGCTGCCTGCCCCTGGTCCTCAACACTTGGCCATTTAAGAATGCTACCGAAGCAGGTGCGGGGCAGCGGCCGGGGCGGGTGGCTGCGCTGCGAAGAGCAGGCGGGCGGGGAGGACCGGCCTGCTGGTCCCGCAGAAGTCGCGGGAGTTAGGAGGGCAGGCAAGCTCTGGCTCTAGCCAGGCCTCCTGCATCCCCTGCGTCTCCACGTTTGCAGCTGACCTTTACCCTGTCCTCCCTAACGCTGCTGCATTTTAGTCCTCATCATTAGGATACTCTCTTTAGGCAGCTCCCCACTCCCACCCTGGGCCAGTGTAAATATTTTCCACCCTAGAGTTGACTTCACGGCTTTCTGCTTTCATTCCTTTTTTTTTACAAACGTAAGTGTGCATACACACACACACACACACACGTATTCTATTGTTGATGGTGTTATACCAATAGAATTAAACACTGCTCATTGTTCTGTATTGTGTTTGTTACTCAGGTATCAAAGGCCTTTCAAAGTCACCACATAGGATATACATCATTTTGATCTCTGTAAAGAATACCACTGTATGAGTTTTTATTTTTGTTTTGTTTTAGCATTTTCTCCTTGAATTTTCTTTTTAATTTAATGAAAATAAATTGTTTCCAATCAATTGCTCAATACTGCGTTTAATTTTAGTGACACCTACATCGTTTTTGCCTAATGCCTATCTCCTGTCTCCCTCTCCACCTCTCCTTTCTAACCCTTCACTTCTCTCCAGTACCCTAAACTCCAGCTTTGCAAACGATTAATAATTTCCCACACATGAATACTCTCCCGGTTTACGTTTGTGCCGCCTGCTGACATGCTGCACTTACCATCTAGGATGCCGGTTTCCGAGCCTGGCTGCACATAAAAATCATCAGCAGAGCCGCTCACACATCCCTTCCCTGGGCCTCATCTCCTGAGATTTTTATTTCACTGCTGGAAGCAGACCATCTGTTTTTGTTTCTTGTTTTGTTTTGTTTTAAGCTGTATAGGTGATTTGGATTTGCAGCCAGAGTTGAGAACCCTATGGTAAGGCTATTACCTCTTCCAGAAGGGTTCCCTGATTTACTTTCCTCGTTTGCAGACTGAGTTAGGTTCCTTACTAATGTGCTTTGATGTCACTCTGTAAATACCATCAACGTGGCATTTTCAAATTGTGTTACACATGTTTCTTTTATTCACTTCAAGACATAACTACAGCAAGAGTAATTTCAGACCCTAGCTACCACATTCAAGACTGCAAATACTTTTCTGGGACAGAATTGACTCCAGAATTTGGTAGAGCAAAATTTGTGTGTTATACGCAGTGCATACATTCAGAGAAAATGGGAAAACAGGTCTATAAAAAGGTATCCTCAGGGATGACGACAGAGTGCAGCAGCTTGAGTAGGGGACAAGTATGTCTAAGTTGATTGTATTAAAAGGAGGAAGTTCTTGAAAAATAGTGTTTGGAGCCTGTAAGTTCAGTGGAGATACTTTAAGTTTTACCAGCAATATCACCTACCTTCAAGGTATTCTGTTTTTATCAGTAAGAAATTGCCCGATGAAGACTTTCCTCTCCTCCAATATATGGTGGCCCACAGAACACAGCACAGTGTTAAAAGCATGGCCACTAAGCCAAAGTGGGTACTTTTGACTCCCGGCTCTGTGACATACTAGCTGTGTGACTTTGAACAAATTATTTAACCTCTCTGGCTCTTTTTCCTCTCTAAAAGAATTATCATTGTATACCACTTACCCTGAAAACTGTTACAAAGATTTATTAATCCAGGTACCAGGAATTGGCATAATGGCTATGTCGCTGGACTCCTCCCATGTAATTAACCGTGGTTCAAGTCCCAGATCCGGTGGCTTAAACTCACGCCAGGTGCGTGTGCATGTGTGCCCGAGATCCCGAGAGGAGAAGGGATTGTGGCATGGCCATCCCCCCTGGGGGGTGATTTCTCGCTTTCTGTCTCTGTCTCTCTCTTTCTGGTGAGCACACATGCCCTATAGCAAAAAGAAACTCTCAAAAAAAAAAAAAAAAAGATTAATCCATATGAAACCCAGGTTGTAAATATTTATTTCTCTGAGATGTACATGTTATCTGAATAATAATATTAGTTGTGTATATGTTTAATAATTAATGATGCAGAATAAACTCATAAGGTTGTAAATTTAAAGGATTTGCAATTTAACTGCCTCAATAGTGTATATTGGATCTTTTAAAGTAGAAGATACTGATTTCTTTTCTCACACAGAAGAGATGGGTATGAGAAAGTAAAAATATTGGATCATCAGAAAAGTCATGATGCATTTTGCATAGAAAAATACGTCAGATTTTTCTGACAACCCAATAATCCTCACTTTGCACCAAAAGCCAGTCCGAGTTCTTCATGATAATTAGTTGTATAATATCTTTTCTATCACTGACTCCTTTGTAGCACTTGCAACTATTAAAAATTCAGCTTCACAGAGTAAATATGAAAAAAAGATTTAATAGGAGTTCTTAAAAGATTTTTGGTTTGTTGCATTTGGCATTGAAAATGTATATATAAATATAAATGAGGATTACTGGAATTTGATTAACAGCATGGAGGACATTAGCGTCTGGAGGTTCTCCCCTGGATGCTGTTGAGAATGGCTGCACTGTGTGTGAGCAAGAGCAGTGTGATGGCTCTGTGGGCTTTGGAGGAAGTCCTGATGAACTTGGAGAAACCACACTGGATGCCATGATTATGGATGGGTAAGATGCTCTTCTGCACCTTGCTTCATGTTGGCATACACTTAGTGTTGTAGCCTTCCAAGACCAAGACAAAAGAATGTATGAGTTTTATCATGAGTCAAAACATCTAGCTTATTTTACTTGGCCTTTCCCAATACAAGAAAGTTCCCTCTCAGTTCAAAACAAAACAAAAAAGAATAAAAGTAGCTTATGGAACTAACTAGTCTCCTTAGGACAAAAAGAATCTCAAGCTACAAAAATATGTCTCTGACCTTATAAACGATTGTTTACCTGTTGTCCTAGTTCATTGAATTGCTAATAACGAAAAAATTCCTGAATCTGGGTAACTTAAGAAAACAGAAATTTATTCAGTTTATGGACTGGAGATTCAAGGGCTAGGGGCCACTTCTGGTGGGGATTGTCAGGCTGCATCTCATTATGGTGGACAGAAGGAGAGTGTGGTCTCTATTTCCATGTATATGTTCTGGCCTCATTTGCTCTCCTTATAGACCTACCGGAACTCAATCACAGGGGCCTCACTGTAATCACTCCTGAAGCCCCACCTGTACACACCTTGAAGGTATGAAGTCCGCCACCTTTTCTAAAGTTTATTTCTTCCATGAGCAAGAGAGAAAGAATGCCCAACAGAGTCTTGTCATCACAGTCTACCAGCCTCAGCCAGCCCCAGACCATGAGCACTCATATGCTTACCATACTCAGGCAGGGTCTCAGCACAACCCTGGGATGTTCTTATGTGGGTCAGCCTCGCAGAACATTGGGTTTGACCACTGCACAAACATTTGGCCCCAAGTTTCCTCTTAATACCTTCATAACCAAACCCCACCACACCGTTTTTGGAGGACACAAGCCATAGCACCTGCCATTCATTGCTGTTGTGGTTTGTTTGCCTGACATGAAGACTTAAGGATTTTTCCAAGAGATATATTTAAAATAAGACAAAAGGAACTCAGTTTAAGTGCTATTGTGGTATCTGGTAAATTGATTTTGTATTTTTTCCTTAAATTTGTCTTGCTGTAGGAATTTTTATGAAATTCATGAATATTCTATCACTTATGTATTAGGGTTGAGGAGTTGATCCTATAAAACACTGTTGCTTGGAGAAAAACAGTATTTATTTTAATCTCTGAAACTATGAAAATATCTTCAGGTATATTTTTTTTTCTTGCAGCACTACAATGAATGTGGGAGCAGTAGGAGATCTTAGACGAATTAAAAATGCTATCGGCGTGGCACGGAAAGTACTGGAACATACCACACATACACTTTTAGCAGGAGAGTCAGGTATTTTTTAACTATAATTCAGCTGTTTCTTTTGTCTGTAGTTTTCACTGTAAAAAATAGGGCTTGAGATAAAATAGTGGATGAAGAAATAGTGGATAAAAGCAGATCTAAGTTTAAGTTTCACCCATTTTACTTAATATCAGTTTAACTGGGTAAGTTACTTCTAGATCTCTCTTGATTTTTAAGGTAGGATTTTTTAAAAAGTACTTTATTTTCTATAGTTGGGAAGTTGCTGAACTGAAACCTGATTTAATACCAGTTTTCTTTCTGTATGCATGTTTATATAGGTGTCAGACTCAAGGAACTTTCTTAACACAAAAAGATGGAAATGAAAGTTTTGCTACAGCAGTGTCGCTTATTTGAATGTCTTCAAAGTTATTTACCACAAATTATGCAGTGACTTACAATTTAAAAAAATATTGTTGATGATATATTACGTAACAATTCCAGTAGACTTCCTTTAGTTTGGTTGAAAGTACAGGATTGAAAACTGCCTGACAGGCAGAAGGATCTATTACCCATTCATTGGAATGCAGTTATCCTGTTTATTGGTATCTCCATGCTTTTTCCACCCTGGCTATTGTACACTAGTTAGTGCAGTAACATTCTGTCTTGATGAGAACTGTGCCTTTTCTTTCGTAGAGTGGAAAGAGGGAGATCGTAGAGGTGAAATTGGAAAAGAGAATGGTTATAACACACAGCTCAGGGTAATCAATCAGATCAGTTTTAAGACTGGCATATGGAAGTTGAAGATTTAGAAATTGATGTCATTAAAACAGTTCATATCTGATTATGCCTTTGAAAGTCTTTGTATCTCTGTCCCTAGATGTCTTTGTATACCCCACATGAGAGACTGCTCAGCTAGAATACCTCTACTATATGTTTTGTTTGAAATGTAGTTCTCAAGTAGCACTTGGAAAGATGGCCTGGCACCATAAACAGTTCTGCCTGGCAGAGAGGATTAGAGAAGATATGTGAAATAATTTGTACCATAAAATAACCTGGGCTATTCTAGTCCGGCATTGTAATTAGTAGAGATTGCAAAAGAGCAACCACAACCAGAGGATTATCTTAAGGAAGACATTGAAGGAAAAGAGACTGATCTTTGCTAGTAGATAGTATATCACAGAATACTTGGTAGGCAAGGCTGAATTGAGAAGGTTTATATGTGGCTTGTGTGCTAGGCATTTGCTTTTCAACAGTTTGAGTAGCTGACATGTAAATATTTTCTCAAACATATGTAAAACCCTACTGTCTCTGTTGTTATAGAGTCACAAGCAAAATTATAACAAATATTTTGAACATTATCTTTAAAATTCAGTTTTTTGAAATTTTGAAAGTTGTTTATGAACTGTCAAGAACTATGGAGTATGAGCAAAAACTTTTTGATATGTAAAGTAAATGTTTGTGGGAAAATGTAAAAATAAATAAATGATAAAAAAAAAATTATACTTAATTCACACTGTTCTTCCTAATCTCCAGCCACCAAGTTTGCTGAAAGTATGGGGTTTATCAATGAGGATTTATCTACCAATGCTTCTCGAGCTCTTCATTCTGATTGGCTTGCCCAGAATTGCCAGCCAAATTATTGGAGGGTTTGTATACTTATTTAATTTTGAAGATTAACTTATTTGAAAATAAGATGCAATATCCTTTCTGCTCTCTGTTGCCCACCTCTTGTCTAGTGCTGGTTAGTTAGCATCCAGGAACTGATGATTTCAGTTGACTCTGGGTATGAGTGTTCTTGAAATTCCTTCTGCATCTAAGGTATACCTAGGGTGGAAAACTCCAAGTCTCTGGCAGTTGTTTTCAAACTGTGAAGGTTCTACTGTGGGGAGGCAGACTGCCTCAGTCAGAGCTGTTTGGCTTGTATTTCCTTATAACAAAGTTGAAAAAAAAAATCAAAGTTTGGAAACTACTAGTTTAAAATAGTTCTTAGATTTTATCTATATGAAGTCTATTTAGTATCTTTCCCTGATTTGACTTAAGGATTTATACTGTTAGGTGTCTGGTATGTTTCTAATTGTGTAATTTGTCTTTAATGACACAACATACGTCAGTTTGTCATATAGGGTCCTTCTATGGGTGATCTGACACTCATCTGTTTCTCTCCTAAGTCCTAATTACCTTTGAGTAATAAGGGGTCTCTGGGGCTACCATTTGAAAAAGACTAGTCATAAAACCAGGGGAAGCACCTAACATGCTAAGAGATATGGCCTAAGTAGTAAATTTCTTGTTTTAATACCAACCTGTGTACATAACCAAAAAAAGATGAGCTTGGATTATATTCCTAAGCCTTTAATATTTATAAAGGACAATTTAGAGTACAACTTAGAATATATTCACATAAACCTAGCTTTGAAAAAAAAAATGGTTTTAAAATCTATTTTACTTCAAATCTTAGGATTCTTTGGCCAGGGAACAAATTCTGAAATGTAAAGGTCAGGTTGTATACCTGATTTTTTTGAAGATTAATATTTAATAAAATAATCTGTATCTACCATTATGCTGAAAATTTTAGGCATGTAAGGAGAAAAATCAGAGATCTGTCTCATATAAGTGTCTAGCACATGTTATATTGAGACTAGAACGAATATTTAGTAAACTTAAGTGTCCATTTATTTTCACATAAGACTTAGCTAATCTTTAGCTTTTAATGCTATCTTCAAGTTACCAGATGTCTCTCCTGTTTGTTACTAGTGTTTAGTGATTGAACATTACTACTTGCCAATTTCTAAAAACACCCTTTCTAAAAATTAAACTTAAATCTTGTTTATAGAATGTTATACCAGATGCTTCAAAATACTGTGGACCCTACAAACCACGTAATATCTTAGAGCAGGAGGATCCTACCTATAAAGAAAAAGGAGCTAATCACGGTCATGATACTATCGGTAATTTGCCTTTTTTAAAGAATTATTTATTTAACTTTGTTATCATTATTTCTTATTTTAACCAGAGAAAGAGAGACAGAGAGAGAGGGAAAGTGGGAAAGCAAGCTGCCAGGTACCAGGACTCGAACCATGGTTGACCACATATGCGTCCAGCGCCTTACCCACCATGCTACCCACTGGCCCAGTAATTTACCTTTCATATAGTTTTTGTGGTTAAAACTTAATTACCTTTCTGCCTTCATTCCTGTTCATATACCAGAAGATGATTTTGATAATTTTAATAGCCAAGTAAGCACACCGCCCTCCCACATACACACACACACACACCCCTGAATCCTAGCATCTGTATACATTTTGGTAAATTACATATAGAAGATCTCTAAAACCCAATGACTACTCACATGTAGATTTTTAAATCTTAGTTTGATTTTTTTTTGATAATTTTATGTTGTTTGCCATATTCAGTGTTTCCAAGATGTAATGTTGAAAATTTCCATCAGTCTGTATCAGTGACTTCTTTTGGGATTACCTTTGAAAAGGTATTGAAAAGTAACTGTACAGTTCAAAGAGTGTGGATATGAGATGTTTACTAAATGATACTGTGAAACTAGGTCATTACAAAGTACAAATTGGAAAGGTACTATGCCATGGCTAAGGCCACACGGGAAAGACTGGTTTTAGTTCCCCACCCAACCTGAACAGTCCTGGTGCAATGGCATGCACCTGTCATCCCAGCTAACTGGAAGCTGAGGCAAGGAAGATGACAGAATGAGACATTGTCAGAAATAAACTCTCGGGCTCTCAGGGCCGGCAGGTGGCATGGTGGTTAAAATGCTGGATTCTCACATGGCCAACCATAATTTGAGCCCCGGACCTGGTGGCTTGAAATTTCACACCAGGTATATGTATGTATATGCCCAAAATCCCAGGAGGAGAACAGAGGAGGAGGGATTGCAGCATGGCCATGCCCCTAGGGGGTTGATTTCCCACTTTTACTCTCACTGTCTCTTCTGCGAGAGCATTTGCCCTATGGCAAACAAAAATAAACGGGGAGGGGGGCAATTATATCACTGGTTTCGATTATTATATCAATTATCACTGTTTTCTTCTATCTAAAATGAATGAAAGAGCATATTTATGTTAGTTTCTTAGTTAAGTTTGTTATTTTTTAAATATAGATTGGATTGCCTATAAGTAACAGAAATTTCTCACAGTCGTGGAAGCTGGGAAGTCCAAGATCAGGGCACTGGCAGATTCAGTGTCTGGTGAGGACCCATTTCCTGGCTCTTCGATGGTGCCTTCTCACTCTGTCCCCACATGGTGGAGGGGCAAGGGGCCCCTCTAAGGGGCACTAATCCTTTGCATGAGAGCTTTGCCCTCATGACCCAGTCATCTAGGATTTCAGCATATGAATTTGTTGGGAGGACACACATATCTACACCATAGCAGTTGCCAACTACTAAGTTATTTTCTTATATTTGAGGTCAACTTTAGGTACATACAATGATTTTGTTTTGTTTTAAACTTCTAGGCATGATTGTAATCCATAAGATGGGACATACTGCTGCTGGTACATCTACAAATGGTAAAAAATTCAAAATCCAAGGGTTAGTGTTTCCAAGAGTACAGATTTCTCAAATACATATTGAGTATAAAAAGCAACATGTGGGGGCCGGCAGGTGACGTGGTGGTCGAGGCACTGGACTTCCACATGGCTGACTGAGGTTCAAGTTCTAGACCCAGCAACCTGCTTTCTCACTTTCCCTTTCTCTCTCTCTCTGTTTCTCTCTGGCCAAACTAAAGAAAAATAATAAATAAAACGTAATTCTTTAAAAAGAAGGGGAAAAAAGCAACATGTGTTAGATGCTATGCGGATTGCAAATGGCAAAGCAGTTCTAGCCTCACAGCTGAGATAACTGAAAGATATATGTTACGCCTGCTAAGTGGCGAAGGAGAAGGAGTCGCAGCTAGTGCTTTAGAGCTCAGCACTGGCTGATAACAAAGTTAATTGGCATAGGCATATTTAATGTACAACTTGTTTTGTTGGATGTACATGTTGTGGAATGGGTAATTGAGCTATTTAACATATGCATTATCTCACATACTTTTTTGTGGTGAGAACACTTAAAATGTGCTCTTAGAAATTTTCAAATATATAGTATGTTGTTAATTAACTTATGTCAACATGGTAAACAATTGCTGTTTTGAATTTACCCCTCCTGTACAACTGAATTTAGTGTCCTTTAACCAACATCTGAACCCCCACCCCCACCCCCCCAGCTTCTAGTAACCATCATTTTAATTTCTGTTGCTATGAGTTTTACATTTTTACACTCCACATTTGATAATAACTCAATCCCCTACCCCCACCCCCCCAGCCTCTAGTAACCATCATTTTAATTTCTGTGCTATGAGTTTTACATTTTTACAGTCCATATTTGATAATAAATTCCTACATAATTGATATAATTAGTAAAATC